CCCTTATAGTCAAAAATAAAACGGACAAAAATTACCCAAAAACGAAGCTTTCAAGGTTGCGGAGCCTGGAATGTTAATGGAGCATTTGGTAACATGCTATCTAAATTCCATTTGACTATCAAAGACATCAACCAATACAAACCATAGTATCAATAAAGTCAAGGATTTGCAATCTCTCCATCTTCAAATTCTTATCTGAAATTCTAAACTTATTTTAAATAGTTAAATAGATAGAGTCAATCAATATATGAATATCTGTACATATTGTATTCGGATTTTTTTTTTTTATCATCTTTTTCAACTCTTCAAAATGTAAGTTAATCTTGATTTTTAATGACCTTCAATACAGCTTCCCACGCTATTCTGTATATTGATGTTGTAAGAGCTAGATTATCAACTTCCAAAGATAAATGAAGCTAAGGAAAACAATGAATTACTATGTAAGCTTATCAGACAATGCAGGTGAAGAAATTAATTTTCAGTTTTGGTTTGACTCAATAAATTATGTTGAAACTAAATATTATACATTAGTCTATGTTGCAACAGTATATATGAAATACCTTCATTTTTTTTCCTATCTGTATCACTTACACAAAAAAACAGTTATTTCTTTGCATTCAACATCAGTCGACTGATGGGTTTTAAAAACAATGAACATGTTCTACTTGGGCAAATAATTACACCACTATAACACTTTTTAGAGGCTGGTACACCAAAAAAAAAATGACCATCAACATTTTTTGTATACTTTATGGGGTGAAAAGAGTTCATTTTTGAAAATCCCTAAATGTTAATTGGTCATGTCCTCTCTATAGTTATATCCATTAAAGAAATGCATGTGCTTTCAAGATCAGGTAGATTTTTCATATAAGATTCAAAGAGGGATAACTCAAAGAGTAATTATCTCAAAGCTCTCTTTCAGGACTATATATATTTGTTATGATGCTAAATCATCAATAGTAGATGTTAAGAGTAGAAATTCCAATAAAATTTTGGTATGTCACAATTGCAGAAATGGACAACTTTCATATTATTTAAGCATCATTTTAAGTGGCTGGGTAGACCACTCATTTAAAGTACCCAGTATTAAATTGCTTGCAAGAGTTTGGTTTTTGCAAGAGTTGAGTTTTTCTGTGTGTGAATTTATACCATGCATGTAGTTGCCTTAAGTGTGATATTTTCCCTCAACATATGTAGATCACCATTTATCAAAGTTTCCATGATCAAAAGTTTGTTATTTTAAACCTTAAACTTTCAGTACAATATTCTTTTAATCTGGTATTTTGTATCTATACTAAATACTTACAGACACATAGTAGACTTCAAATACAGTCATACTATTACAGATATATAGTCCTAATTATTACAGAAAATCATATCTACATCAATAAAAAAAACCAGATTCTTCTGAGGAATATTTTCAGAATTGCTTACAGCTTACATTCATCAAATATAACCAAGAATTGCACAAAATCAGGGGTTTATAACTAAGCAAGAGATGTTCTTTTTTTTTTTTTTTTTAAAGATTTAGTATCAATCTAAATGGATATTGCGATTCAAATTCCAAATGAGTTATCGAGTACAGTGTGCAAAGAAGCATTGGATTCACAAAACTGTGTTATAGGTTCTATTAAATGACCTCATTATCTTCACCATCTCAATGAGATGTTCACTTATTAATCAAAAATCAAGTTTATTTTTGTTCTTATTTGGTTTCATTTATTTTTTTTTTTTATTTCAACTCACTCTTAAATTATTAATTTAATGACATGAATGGATAATCATTAAAATGATGCAAAATAAAAAACTGAAATAAATTTTTGGTAGAAGAATTCTTGTCATAATTACTGTCGTTTTCAAAAATCAACCCATTTTTTTTTTTCTAGGAATGATCTGATTTCAGTTTCTTTCTGGGAGACACAAATAGAAACATATGATTTCTTTGTCTGATAATTACTTTCCTTCCTGGCATTACATATTTAGAACACAATGAACTTGTATAAACCTCCAATTATATAACAAGGAATATTTTTCCCTATTTATACATCACAAGTTACATGAGATCTTTTCAAATTAATATTTGTCCTTATTAGTGCACAGGAAATATGGTAATTTGATTTTTTTCGAGCCAAATTATACATTCATACATGGCTTAATAATGAATTCCAGTTCACAAGGCTTTATGCATTAGCACACACATTTTCCCAATTTTTTTTTTTCTTTTGCAATAAGAAAATATATTTTTTTTTTTTACTAGCATTTTCTGAAATTTGCACAGCAATTTTAGTATGTGATGTTATGAGCAAGCTCTTCAAGGTATTTTACTTAGTCTCCCTCTTCGACATGTGCACCGAAAGTATAGCCACGATTGTACAAATCTTTTTATTTCCAGAAATTTTTTTTTTTTTTGTGTCAGCTGTGATCAAGTTCATCACCTCAAATTAGGGCACCGATTATCTTCTCTATTCTGGTATGTTGTGAGGAACTTGTTTTTATTCCTCTGAGACAGAATAAAGGTAAAATCAGTCCCTCTCTCTGTCATGGCTTGACTGCATAAGTATGAAAAATGATCATGACAACATACAACAAAACTGTCTGAAAACTGTTCTAAGATTTTTCGGTAAGTTGTTGTCATCCACGAGTTGTCTTTCTTTGACTTGTCGCATCAGCGAGTTTTACTTTTGATCAGTTGACTTTCGGTGAGTTGTCCCATCCAACAAGCCATCTTTCGACAAAGTGTCTGATGCCGATAGATTTACAAAATATTTAATATATGAAAACACTTGTGTAAAAAGTGCTTTCTTGCAATAAATTGGTCAGAGCCTCAGATGCTACTCTAGCCTGCTAGTGGCTCATTGTGAGATGCTATTGACTTGGTGCCACATAGTGAGGAATTTTGTCCAGAAATACAGGTGACTCTTGATGGTTCAACTTTGATCTCTCAAAGTTCTTGATCTCTGAAAGTGAGTCTCTGGTCCTATTTTTTTTCCCTTTACAACTAATTTACTCTTGATTTCCTGAACTCTCAATCTCTCAAAAACCTTTGATCCCTCAAAGTCAAAATGCAGTCTCGTAAGGCATATTCTTTTGTAATTTACCCTTGATACCTTGAACTGGCAATGCCTACCGAAGTCTAATTACATTGTTTATAATACAGACACCAATACTAATGTGCTTGGGTACCCATGTGCTTACATGCAGAGCAGAAGATAAATACACATGATTATTTTTCAAAAGAAAATTTTGTTCCAATCTACAATGAAATTAATTTCAAAACAAGAGGCCCATGGGCCACAGCACTCACCTGAGTCACTTATGGCCCTTCTGTTCCTAATCAGCAGTTTTTTCCACTATATATTCCTTTGTAAAATTAAGATCACATATTATGGCCCCAATTTGCCCCCTAGGGGTTATGATTTGATGAATTTGAATTTACACTACCTGAGGATGCTTCCATATAAATATGACTAATCATGGCTCGCTGTTCTTGAGAAGAAGGTTTTTAAAGATTTTTCCTATGTATTCCCATGTTAAAACTTAGATTGCCCATAGTGGCCCCAACCTTCCCCTGGTGTTTATGATTTGAACAAATTTTAATCTACCCTATGTCAAGAAGCTTTAACATATGTTTCTTCTTCTCTGACCCAGTGCTTCTTGAGAAGAAGAATTATGAATGACCCACCCAATTTTTAACTTTTTTTCAAATTATCTCCCTTTGGAAGAGGGTGTGCCCCTTCATTAGAAAAAAAAACTTGAATCCTCTTTACCAAAGGATATGCCAAGTGTTTCTGAAGAAAAAGATAAAAATGTGAAAAGTTTACAACAGACAATGGACAAATTTTGGTCAGAAAAGCTCACTTAAGCCTTTGGCTCAGGTGAGTTATTGAATTATTTGTCATGTGGATCGTGTGACACCATTCGCTCCTGAAGCATTTACAGTTGAATTTTACAAGTACAATATTCCAAAATTATAAAACATCTTACCAATGAAATTGTTTCTTTCTCCTATTTTTTCTGAAGTCATTGTTTAATGGTAGTTTGTTTTTTTTTTTTAATACACACAATTCAACTTTCGTTAAATTTTTCACCTTTATTTTTAGAAAGGTTCTCATAATTATAATAAGTAAACTTTACGTTTATTTAACACCAATTGTTACTGGACTATTTACGTTAGAAAAATAACAGATGCAATCAATTTACAAATTAAACATTTTACATTTTTAAAATGTTTTACTAATGAAATTCAACTCCAAATACTTCAGAAGCCAATGGCACTACGCTTGTAAAGCTCACTGGTTGTTGTTGTTTACACTGCTTAATTGATAAAACTGCCCCTTTGAAGATGTGGTTTACTATTCTCTATTGAGAAGTTGATGGCTCCGTTTTAATACTCCCATCAAAGATTTCGTCAAATATATATGTGTATATATATATTGTGTGTGTGTTAAAGATCTTATTTGATGTATCTGGCTCTTCCTATTTAACAAAAGGCTCACACTCATAGCTTGAACATCATTCAGTCTTGTTACTTACCCTCTCCAGCAGACATGTTCTTGTTCTACAGCATGCTGCCATCATCCTCATCAAAATAAACAACAAAAATATTAACATTTTAAATCATTTCGAGCTTCAAAACAAATCAAGATATTTTTTCTGACATGAAAAAGTTTCATCTTTCTAATTATCCAGATATATGAGCAAAATGCAATATCAACAGCACATTTACTGAAATTAGCCTGACCCACGTAAAGTACTTTCGAACAAGGTTTTAACAGTGTATGGGCATGCAAATAAAACAATTAAAGTTGCTACCAATAACCCTTAAGTGCTACAATATTTCAATTAGAACATGTCAATAGTATAATTACTTGTATTTCTTAATTTTTCAACGTTTCTGCCCCCGGGCATCAGACTGCAGGTGCGAAAAGAAACAACTTCCGGTTTTCTTTAGAGAAACTTTCATTGGTTGATGTAAATAGATAGTCCAATGAAATTAGAGATAACAAAAACGACACAATTTTGCCGGTGTCGACATCGGATAGAGGGAAGACGAAGGGCGCTGTGAAAATCCATCGGCATCCTGGTAGTTGTGAAGAATTAAAGGAAAAGCAAAATGTGGTCCATGTTAGGAAAGATGATGCTCTTTTTACTGCTTGTGCTTCCGTGCACAGTTATGGTATTTGATAATGGTGAGCCCGATTACATTTATTACGAAGAAATACTACGTGGCATATTTTGACAGTATTTTAAATTTCTTATGTGGACTGTATCATATAGAGATATTTACTTCTTTATATAGTCACGATAATTTTTAAGTTATGTGTAAATATTGCTCACACAATTTTTAGCTGGTTGGTTTATCGTACCATGTAACATATGATGTTATGTGAAATGAAATTATCAAAACAGCTGCGATTACAACTGCTTTGTTTACTAACTTATTCTTATCTATTTATCGTATCGTTTTAACCTAATCGTAAAGTATAAAGGGGTAGTTTAAAAAACCCATTACCCCCACAGAAGTATTAGGTTGTTCGCATTTTATTTTTCGAGATTTCTTCATTTAACATCATCAGTTATACATGTACCAATCTAACTGATTTAAGAGACGTTTGAATGTCTCATTTTGTTAACCATTTATAATACTTTTGTTTCAAAGATGATTTAGTTTTGCAGTGCATCTTGAATTCAGATTCTGTGGTGTGTACTTATAAAAAGAATTTCATATATATTTTGATGTACAAGGCTGCTACATGAGCTGTATTGAGAAAATTGACTTTTTATTGAAATACATTATGATTGTAGACAAAGCAGCAGTGTATGCACAGGAAGGCGATGCAATGGAAGGTGAAGATGATGAAGACACTGTTGTTGAGAGTGAAGATGGTGTTGATGACACAGAACAGGCAGTTACTGAAACTGAAAAGGTTCCATTTAAATCCTTTCAGCCTATTGTTATAAAGCTGGTGAAATACAAAATAGAATGTAACTAAGCAAAAAAGCTAAAATCAAAAAACAAAAAAGAATATTGTATAATACCAATTTTGAAAAGAAGTGCTGATGCAATTGTCCTTTGTTAAGAATTCTACTAGCTGCTTAGCTTGTATCGGAACATTACAATGGAATTGTATACCATAGGGAGATGAAGAAGAAGAATCAACCGAGGAAGAACAACAGTTGAAACCTTCACCTGATGCTGATGCTGTTATGCTCTTTACCAAACCTGTTGGTGCAACAGGTAAAAAAAAAAAAATTGTACACCACTATAGCAAAAAAATTGAATATGATAAAAATGATCAGTTTTCAGGTTTTTGTAAAAATGTCTGTTTACATTTGACATTGATTGTTTTAAATTATTTATATATTTGTGTTCCTAGATTTGCCAGCTGGTGAGACTATTCGATTTTTGGTTGGTTTCACAAACAAAGGAGAAAAGACTTTCACAGTTCAGTCACTGGAATGTTCTTTCAGATATCCTCAAGATTACAACTTCTTCATTCAGAATGTAAGTATACTATAAATCCTTTTGATTTGACCATACTAGTTCCGCTATATATTTGTTGAACAAAAAATATACTGAATGTTCCATTTGAATGTGAGTGATTAGATGTTTACTATCATACAAAAGATTGAGAGACGTAAAAAAATTGTGAAGGTTCTTCACTCTATTGAAAAATGTTTTTGGGATTTTGAGAAAAGTGCATGTATATCTTGTAAAAGTGTACATAATGAGTTTATGTAATTCATATTTCCTCAGGAAAAATGTTCAAATGACAATGAAGTACAATAAAACATGAATATAGCGAACACGCTTTTATGATTAATGCTCATTGCAAAGTGATTTTCATTCCCCATGACTTTAAAATATATTGTAAACTTAACAAATATAACAAATTAAGCCTATAATGAAGCAATATTGTCTGTCCCTTGCACTTTGTTATAAGCGTGTTTTACTGTATTGGGAAACGGAAATCACTGTTGTCTACTTACATAGTTACATTGGGAAAAGACATTCAGATTTTGTATTCAGATTATCTTCAATGGTCTAATATAATGTTAAAAATACTTTATTCCATTACATATTTTCATTCACTCTTAGATATCTGTTTATATCTTGCATTTAAGGGCAGATCACTAAACTGCATAATACTAGCCTGGTATTGGAGCTCTTTAAAGTGTAGGATTTAGAGCCTCCTTAAACATGGATGATTAATGCTAAAATGTTGATATGATTATTTGTCTTATTCAGTACACAACAGCCCAGTACAACCAGGAGGTGGCATCCAAAAGACAGGCTACATTTGAGTATGGATTTACTCCCAATGAAGGATTTGCTGGTAGACCCTTTGGATTGTCTGTTTTGCTGAATTACAAGGACGAGGTAAGTTTTAATTAAAAGTGTTCTATATCAGAAGTTTTCAGCAGTAAATGTTTTGATGTAAAATAAATTGATGGTTGTTAGTACAGTATGAACAGTTTTAATTTTGGTGCTTGTGGCATTGAGTATACCTCTATGTAGATGTAGGTATGAGTTTGTCTGTGTTTATGTAGAGGTAAAATTGTGGACTCGCTACAAATGGGATGGAGTAATTTTTTTTTTAGTAAAAAGGTTAAAGCAAACGAAATTCTGTAAGATATTGAAAATTAGTGCCTTAAATATTTTTATTAAGGATAAGCTTATATTTTTCTTGTCTTCAACATGTTTTCAGTATTCAAAATAATGTGCAGGACTTTCTGGGATGATTTTGAATTACATGCCAAGTCTGTTTTGTTAAGCACAACACAGAGAACAATTTGTTTCAATTAAATTTCCTAGACCTGAAGTATATTTGTACCTAATTATTGTAGGATGGTAACTTGTTCATGAGCCCAGTCTTCAATGAAACTGTCAACATAGTCGAACCAGATGAGGGATTAGACGGAGAAACGTATGTACCATCTTATTAACAATTTATAGGTGACATAAGTTGTATATTGGACAAAAGTTTTGATTTACTAGAGATTTGGCATATTTGATGAACCTGTGTCCATTATCAAAAGCATAAGAAAATGAAATTAGGGAAAAAAAGAGATTTAAAAAGTTAATGTAAGCATTAACTAAGCAATTGTTAATTTGAACAGGATATAAGCAAGTAACAGCAAGCAGAATTCTCTGCATAGATTCTGACTTTCCTGAGTCTTGCAATATGAAATGAAGTTGTCTTATATTAAATTAACAACTTCAGACAGTCTCTTTGTTATTGAATCTTGGCACACAAGTTGTCATGATGAAAATAAGGTTAAAAAACAAAAATTGTATTTTATGAGAGATAGCAATGATAAATATTAATTTGATTGAACTAAACAAAAGCAACGAACAGCAAGCAAAATTCACAGCATACCTTCTGATTCGAGTAAAAAGTCTTGGAAATAAAAAAAAAAATATTATTATAGCATGGTGATCATATGAAGGTTTATTATTTATATTGAAACATAAGCTATTAATGTATAAGACATTGTACATATCTGTGAATTTTCTCTACAGGTTTTTCCTGTATGTGTTCTTGGCAGCTATTGCGGTTTTGCTATTGGTTGGTGCTCAGCAGTTCCTGGCATCTTTCAGCGTAAGTGTAAAAGTGTACCTTGTTCTTTCACATTGTACAGTTACAGTGCTCCAAGTCACACTTACTTTCAGGTCGCTAAATGGCGACCTAAAAAAATTTTTGGTCGCCATTTCAGAATTTCTGGTCAAGATCAACAAGTATTGCCGTGACGAAAACATTTTGTGAATAGCACTAGTTAAGTAAAACAAGGAACTAACACCCATATATGTATTATGTCTTTATTAAATCAAAGAGTACTTATTACTGTGACTAGAAACAATTTGCTAGGTTGAAGGAAATATTTTTATTAAATACAACCACCCTTATGGTTGTACAGTACACAGAAGAACACAAGTAATCTGATCCTAGAATTAAAATTTAATCAAAAGGAAATACAAGTTTGACAGTTGTTGCGACAGGACTTTGCCAGCTGTTTGTCATGTTTACTTATCACTACATGCTGTCATAACATTAGTACGTGATCTAAGTCCTTGCAACGCTTTATAAAGTTTATTTAAAATGTATGTCTTCAAACATTTTCTTGATAGAGAATTTTGATAAACGTAAATCTCGATCCCAATCTTAAAAATGGACATTGCCAGCCCAAATTTTTTCTCAGTCTCGAAATTGCGAGTTAGCTTTAATTTCTAGTCATAAAATTAATTTTTTGGTCACAAATGCAACCATTTTAGTCACAACTTGGAGCACTGAGTTATATTTTTATAATAATGATGTGTCTTGCATGTACTTTTCATAAATACTGTACTATAGTGGTTAGGATTTGACACATAGTGTATGAGGCTATTTTTCTGTGATATTGAACTTTTTTGGTATGATGTCTGTTTATAAATAGAATCATGTAATTCTTAACCTCCAGGGTTGTGGTTAACTTTTGAAACCTTAGGGGCCATGTGGGCTCCTAACTTTTCAAATTTTACGGGCCCACAATGTGATCCACGGGCCCACATTATATGTAAATTAAAAATAAGAACACAAAAATCCTAATTTTGTTTTCGTAGTATCTATATGTTCGCAGAATATGGATTTTTGTCACGTTTTCTCTTTTCTAAAAACTTTGATCCGATAATATGTTCATTACATTTTGTAGTATTTAACCTTAACTTATACAACTGAAGCGTCTATGGTTTAACAAGGGGCATATTAAATAATAAATTACAACCTGTGATTAAGTTTGATCCCGATCTTTTATTGTGTGCATTTGACATGGGTAATTCAAATTCTATCTGTGAATAACTAGTCGAATGGCGAGTGTGACAACCATAGCTGATTGTTACAATATTTCTATTAGAACAATCTCAAACATTTGCTCTCATATCATCAGATTTAACGGAGATTTAATCGCTTCGATAAATTGCCATTTTTGATCTCGGTCACGTACATGTTTGAGTAATATGCTTGTACGCAACACAAATAATCTAAGTTAGTAGAGCGTTTTCTTAAAAAACTGAAAGTACATAAAATAAAACTGAAATGTGATTATGTTCCGGTAAAAAAATCGTTCGCCATGTGGGCGACCAGATTTTTAATATCTAGTCGCCCACCGCAAATTTTACTCGCATTTGCGAGTGGGCGAGTGGTTATCCACAACCCTGAGCTCAAAATAAGTGATTTCAGTCATACTTGGATGTAATAGTTGAAACTTTGACCTTTATAGAAGTGAAAAGTCTGGTGCAGGTTCAGAGGAAGCAATAAGCTTTCATAGATTTTGTCTTTCCAAAAACTTGCTATAATATATGAAGTAGTTTGAACCTTCAATGCATTTAAAGCATTAAGGGTATAGAAACTTCAGACATCTTCATAGTTATCACAGAATCAGATTGTGGTAAATGTACTATAGAAAAAGAGTTTATCATCATCCCTTCCTTTTCAATTTTAGAAGAAACATCGTTCAAAAAAGGCGCATCATCAACCAGTAGAGATGGGAACTCAGAATACAGATGTAGACTACGACTGGATCCCAAAGGAAACACTGGACAGGGATTTAAGTAAGTGTCTTAGTAGTCAGCCAGCTACACAGTACTATAGACCATTAGAGTTTTTTTTTTTTTTTTTTTTTTTTAAAAAGTAGTAGTGAGCCAGCTATATGTATTAGAGACATTTAGAGTTTTAAAAAAAAGTTGTTAAAGCTTTATTAAAAATGGTGCACATTATAATGTCACTAAGCAAAGTAGTTAAGAGTTGGACAAGTTTTAAAAGCGTTTTATTTAAAAAAAAAAAAAAAAAAAAAAAAAAAATACAATAATTCTAAGTTAATTTTCTGTGTTGAAATATTAGACAGGTCACCGGGGCGCTCACCGAAACAATCCCCCCGCCAGAGGAAGAGCAAGAGGACCGCCGGGTCCGGCGAAGAATGATCGTACTGATGCTTATGCTGATGGAAGTGGATTTAAAAACTAGGTCACTGTTACACATACAACGGGAGTACAACAGCTTCATGGACTGCAAGAAAATCATCAAACTCTTCACAAGAAATCATGTAATCCTTTAAATCTTGTTTCTGCTTTAAGTTTGTTTTTTAAATGGTGTGAAAGTGGTCGGAAAGGTATCATTTTGCTCATTGAGTTCTCCCCCTTTGTCAAAAGTTTCATATATGCAGAATGAGAGTTAGGAGTTTGTTCAGTTTTTCTTTCAAAAAAAGTGGAATAATAGCATATTCAAAATATGTTGATCATTGTTTTGCAGTATTTAAATAGTATATTCCACCAAAGTTGATTTTTTTATTGTATATTTTTATTTGATTGTGAATAATAAAAGTTAATTTATAGAATGTGAAGCAAACTGTGATAAGTGAATATTTAGTCAGGAGTAAATGAGCGAACCCCCACACAATGTCCAAATATGGGGGGAAAACAATTCTAAATAAATTTTGAATTCATTATTGGATCTGTGAACTTGTTTTGAGCCTTTTGCCAAGAAAATTGTTTTTGAAAATGTCTTGTGTTTTTTTTGTACTCTGATGAAAATGGTGCAGGGAAAATTGTCTGAGAAAGAAATAATTATGTGTTTGGCACAGTATTGGTCTGTTGAATTATATATTTAAAATGTGATTAGAATTTGCTCATACAATAAATAATTTGAAAAAAAGCCTGGGATAGTAGGGTAGTTAAAAATGTGAAGGAGCTATGATGTGTGCGTCTCAGTCATGTGGCATTCCAATGCTTTGTACTATATGTATCTCATTATTGTATTCTGTGTGACAGCAGTGTCAACTTCTACTTCCTGTTTAGTAAATAAAATTATTAAAAACTATAATGACTTATTATTGATTATTTCAAATTTACAGTTGAGAGGGTGGTAATGTGTTTGCATTCACTAATAGATTACATTGTTTTATGTCCCTTAAGTCCCAAAATGCAGTTATAAATTGTGCTCTAATAGAACATGTATGTCTCGGAACAAATTGAGGGGTCGATAATGAATTTATGATTGGTCCTAGATTCTTAAAAAAAATTCAGTGATGTAACTTGTGTTTTTGGTGTACGAATCATTAAAAAAGTCAATTCTTTAAAGATGTAATTTATTTTTTTTTACCTGTGATTTCTGAATTTTGTTCAATTTTATAAATTGTGTTGAAATACAATGTATTTGCTTTAAAAAATACACATACACCAAAGACCCAAGTATAGCCTACACTGACAATGTACTTGCAAAATTTTACGAAGAAAAACTTCACTGGTTCTCTCGTTGTAGCTTCAGTGTATTATAACGTCATAAACATACTATAATGGCGTCCATCTACCTATCAGTTGAAAAATTGTTAAAAAGTCAATTCTGAAATGTTTTGTCTACCTGATCAAGCTACCTGGCTAATGGTGGATGAGACCGGTCAACAGAGGATGCTTATTCCTCCTACTCACCTGATCCCATCTCCGGAATTTCCAGGGGTCTTCACATGTTTGTATTGTTTATAGATTTTTTTTTTAGATCGATCACTGTTCGTTATCTTCACCTTTTTCAACGTAATTAATTTTTTTAACTGTGTTTTTCAATTTTTTCTGTTTGATTAATTGTGTTGAAATATTTGCTTTAAAAGTGGAAATACGCTTTATTTTCCTATTCTGCGCAAAGTATTCGTAATGAAAACCCCAGTCGGACCCTTAAGTTTACGCCCCCAAAAGGTCTGGTAAATCTATTCTATACCCCATATTGTACAAAATAAAATATGAAGGTTATCCAAACTCAAAATATGAAGGTTATCCAAACTGAAAAAAATTTCCAAAGTAAGACACAATGACACTCATTGACTGCCCCAAAATGACTTTTCATAATTAGGTCACTTTAAAATTGATATACGCAAATTTCATATTGTGAAAGGAAATTAAAAAGATCTGTTTATTTGCGGTTACATAAATGACAAATTACGACTGGTTAATCTTCTATTACCAAAAGTGGCTCTAAATTCTTTATCTTTCAGTTGACCATATAGGTATTTAAATACATATTGCTTTCTCAATTAAAATTCTTAAATAAGCATTTTCAACATATGCTTTTAAATGTGGTTATTCAAACGAAGTGGAAAGGCATTGTATTTAAAGTTAAAAAAACAAAAGGCTCCCTTTTGTGAATCTTTGTTATATTTACATATGTTGACAGTGGAAGTTTTATAACGAATTCAGAAAATAACAGTAAATTCACCCTTTAAGTATGCTGATCTGAGAGGATGTCAGACATATCAGCTTTGCTATTGCTGAAAAACCGAAGAAATGTCCACGACAAGCTGCAGTTTCCCATAAATCCAGGAGCGGATCTTAAGAAATTCAGTGCCACAGTAGCTGCCATTTCCCAAGACACATCGCGCTGTATTAATGAAGTCACCGAATATGTGCTAAGGATCAAAGAGGAGGTTGCATCACTTAGGCTGGTTTTGGAGCAATTTAATGTTCAACTTGGGACAAAAATAAAAGATGCCTTTGACAGTGTCCTGACTATAGGTAAAGTTTTAATTTTAAAAAGGGTAAATTTTTAATTAAAATATCATTAGGAAGTCAAAGGGGGTGTTACTTTCATGGTCCCAAGAAAGATTCATGTCCGTTTTTTATGTCTGAGGATAGCTTAGATTGTGTATCTGATAATTTTTGCTTTCCCTTAAAAATCTTTTGCCATATAAACAATCAAATACATGTATCTAAGAAAAATGCAAATGGATATGTCCCGAGATTTCATGATTGAAAATTGTGTAAATTCTCAAGATAACCAAAGATATGGATATCATGTTGACAAGTTTGAAAAAAAAAATGAGCAATATAAATTAATGCAATTCTATTTACGTCCAGTTTCAATTTTGTATAGGTATTCAGGATAGCAATGGGCTAGGACTGCGATACCAGCTGAAAGAGTAGGTTGACAATGTTTCTTTTGGTATTCAATTCAAAATTTAAACAAAAAATTACTTCATTTTATGCAATCTCAATACAAAACCAAAATTTTCAGAAAAAACTTGGATCTTAAAAGAGCAAAACATGTGGCAGAACTGCAAAGGTGTGCAAAAAAGCAACAAGATTTGATGGAATCCATCAATAAAATAGATGGACTTATTATCAGAGTAGAAGAGGAGGGTATATTTTCATTGGATGATATCGATAATACAAATGATTCCATAATAAGATGGAAGATATATATTGAAAAACAACAACAAATGAGATTAGCCGAGGAGGAAAAGAGGAGAAGAGAGAAAGAGGAAAAGGAAAGGAAGGAAAAGGAGAGAAAAAGGAAAGAAGATAAAGAGAAAATTAGGCTAAAAGAAATAGAACGTCAAAGACTGGAAGAGGAACAGAGGAGACAGGAAGAAATGCTTAAGCAAAAGCAGGAGGAAGAAAGAAGAAGGAAGGAAGAAGAGGAAAAACAAAGAATTGAAGAAGAGAAGAAACGTTTAGAAGAGGAAAAGAAACGCCAAGATGAAGAAAGACAAAGAAAAGAGGAGGAAGACAGAAGGCAGCGTGAAAAGGAGGAAAGAAGGCGGATGGAAGAAGAGAGGAAACATTTAGAAGAACAGAAAAGACAATTGGAAGAGGAAAGAAGAAGGATAGAAGAGGCAGAAAAAAGAAGACACGAGGAAGAGAAACGGAGAAGAGAGGAAGAAGAACGTAAAAGAATTGAAGAAGAGCGTAGATTACGAGAGGAAGAGGAGCAAAGAAGAAAGGAGGAAGAAGAAAGGAAAAGACAACAAGAGGAAGAGAGAAGAAGACACGAGGAGGAGGAAAGAAAGCGAAAAGAGGAAGAAACGAGGAAAAGGAAAGAGGAAGAAGAGAGGAAACGTATTGAAGAGGAGAAAAAACGCATCGAGGAAGAAAGGAAAAGAATTGAAGAAGAGAGACAAAGAATAGAGGATGAAAGAAAACGGAGAGAGGAAGAAGAAAGAATGAGACCGATTATTGAGGCTCGACGCAGAGAAGAAGCGAAAAGAAGACGGGATCCAAATAATTGGCCAACATATGTGTGAGTAATTTTACTGTTTATTTAGAAGTGTGGTTATGGTTCTTGTATAGGAGGCACTTGACGTTTTAAACCTTTCTCTTCATTGATAAGAATATCTCCATACTATATTATTATAGTATGGGGGCATTTTTATCAATAAAAAGAAAGGTTTAAAACGTTTAATGCCTGTGATATCATATAAATATTGCATGTAGTTGAGTGTAACATTGAAAATTTTCACCCCAAGAAAACCATTGTCAACCGAGGCGCAGCCGAGGTTGACAATGGCTTTCGAGGGGTGAAAATTTTCAATGATACACTCAACTACATGCCATATTTATTATATTATACTGAATGTTTTATACAAATACATATAACAGTGAACCTTGTGCGCATAAATTCTGCGCAGTCACTATTTTTTGGAATATCACCCGTCGTCAAGCAATGTTGACTGTTGCTATGCTGGAGGGCGTGGCTTCATCATTCGGCGGGTAATAGTATTTTTTAACAAATGTTTCTCGACGAATCAAATTCAACTAATTTACATGAAAGTATAATATTCTTAATTGTTGGTAAAGTAAATTTGAAAAATCATATTCATAGGTATGACCGACCGAAAGTGAACGACTCTTTTCATAATGGTGTATGTTGTGCGGTATCGGCAATTACAGGAGAGCAGGGATTAGACAGAGATGATATCGAATGCCGATTTTCTGATCGACAAGATGATTTGAGTCGTGCGTTGGCAGATAAGCATGAGCAACCCTTATCATCCCTTGTTTCTATAAGATCCAAACAAGGGATGCAAATTGATCTAGAGGTAAATACATTTCTTATTTTACAATGAATTAATTTTAAAAAAATCTTGTATTGGTATTGGTGCTTTTCACGAAGCATCTGAAAAGATCATTTGAAATAAAAAATACAGAGGTTTGTACCATGTACCAAGTTACCAAAGAATGCTTTTTTAAACAGTGGTGAAAATAAATTATCGAATGAGAAGTAAAACAACATAATTATAATCAACCAATCAACTTTTCTATCGTCAACTTCCCTTATTCATGTAGCAATGTACAATTATAACCTGTATACAGAGTTTATATCTCACATTTGATTCGAAACACAACAGCATGTTTTACGTACGAACAATTTGGACAAACAATTTCTAGAACGAGAAAGGCTATTGACAATCAAGTTCATTATACAAGGATATCAACAATCTCGTTTAAAGTCTATGTTCGATACAATGGCCTTGGATTTTTTTTCGTTTACCTGATTATGTCAATGAGCACATGGCAAGTGTGACCGGTCGATAGGGAATATTTGCTCCTCCATGCCACCTGATCCCACCTCTATTTTCAGAGGTCCGTTTAGCTCTGCTCATAATTTGTATTGTAACGGACTTTTGAGATTGATCTCTGTTCGTTATCTTCACATTTCATTCAGCGGTTAGTAAGATTAATCAATGCCGGGGCATTTCTGACTACAATTACTTTTCAAACTTTTACATGCAACTTACCCATATATAAATTACACATGGAATTGTTGTATTTAATATTTGTTACCATGGTTACAGGATTGTCATTTTAGAAATACAAAGAAAGTTACAGTCAAGAGATGATCTGCTTTATTTTAAGTTGATTTTGGAAGCAATTGTGATTACATCATGTTAACTGTAGAATTTTTTAAAACTTTAGATGGCAATGTATTTGTACATTCCGTATACAGCTGTTCAAGGTCACAGAGAAGTAAAATTAAAAATATCGAAAAACGGCGGGAAGTGGCAGACGACAACTCTTCTTCAAAGCCATCCGATAAAAAATACATCGGTATGTCACTGTCTCATAATGATATATAACTAAAATGTCATAGGTCTGAAAGATGATTAAATAATGTTAATATTTGGTTCTCTCGTTGTAGCTTCATGGGATTCAGTATGGGGGTACTACTGTAAACAACTTTAAAACTATTGAAATTGTAGCTATATCGAAACCTAAAAGACAGTATGAACCTATCAGGGATGAGAATTCAAGACTGTTGGTTCCAAAAACATATGTACAAGAGACACTAAATCCACCAATGAGGGTATTCATTTAATTCTTCGTGAATGTGTTACAATAGCAAATGCCCAAAACACTTTATTTATTATAAATAGAATACAATTGTTGAAGATATAAGATTTATTGCATTTTTTTCTCAGGTTGTTGTCAGTAAAATGATGTTTTCTGATGAGAGACGAACGGACGTTGCTTCTAGACGACGACCAAATCCTATCACGTCTTCCAGCAAATGAAGTGTTCAAGTGAACTGACAATCTTTATAACCGTTTTTCTTTAAGTTAAAAAGAAAACCAAAGGTTTTTTTTTATTTAATTATCTCTGTATTATTAAAACAAAAAACAAATACATGTGTATTGATATCACAGTATAGGTAAATCTGACATTCTTGAAAGCACCAAGGAAAGGAACGAAAGAGACATTTTCATTTACCAAGCTATTGATGTTAAGAAGTAGTGTATATGTCAGAGGAAATCTACGGAAGCCCTGGAGGGACATTGACTTACTTGTTATGATTTTTTTGTTATAACGTAGGCCCCTATCAGTTGTAACTTATTTGTTATGACTTTTTTGTTGCTTGGTATAACTAAAGTGTAACGTAGCTATGGAGAACTTGTAGCTTGGCTTACGTGTATTATTAAAATGATATGTTTAGTCCTAGTTAAACTGTGGTGTCTAATTGATTAATTATAACTTAACGTCCAGTACAGTTGTGACTACTAAATTCTTATCTGTTAATATCTTGTAACTTTGTTGTTATAGCTTAATTTTTATTTGTTAATTCTTATTTGTTATTTCTTGTTACTCAATAGTTATTATTTAATTCTTATTTGTAACTTTCAGCTTGCATAATAATTGAGCACATGAACATAACTACTATTTTATCCTGTCGTTAGTAATAAATTCAAAAGCAAAATATTACTTTCTTCTTTTCTGAAACTACACGTAGCCTCCATTTTTCACGCCACGTTTTGGGGGTAAAGTGAATGTGTGATAACAAAATTAAAATAACAAAAATTAACAATTGAGTCATAAGAACTAAGTCAAAACACATAAGAAGTAAGTCAATGTCCTCCAGGGCTTCCGTAGAAATCCTTAAAAAGGGAACAAATAAAAAAAAAGATCAAGGTTTTCAATGAAAATCAATAATCGTTAAGCTCTAATTAATAATAATTATATTTATCAAGAATTTATACAGGAAACGTTGTTGTTGTTTTATATTGGAAATTTACAGCCTGATGCCCATTGTCTTGAAATCTTTAATGAGTGTGGATTCAATGCTTTGGTAACAATAATGGCCATTTGGCTCCAAAAATGCAGAACACAGTTGTTGATAAGAAGGAACATTAATATGACAATAATTCTGGGGCTAAATCCAGTTTATTTGGCTTTAATTAGTTAAACTGCGTCGTTTCCAAACAGGAAGACTTGATTTAGTATGTTAAGGTATTTCAAAAAATTGGGTTTTCTATCCTAACCCTATCTTCTTAGTTTTTGTTTTGCTTCCAGAAAATACAGTAATGGAACAAATTGGTAAAACTTTGCTTATGTATACTCTGAACATTTTTATCGTAGGTCATCTCACTTGCGCATGACACTTTTCTTTTTTTGTTTAAACATTGAGATCAGTGTCTGTAAAATTTTAGTAAGAAAAAGGCGTATTACTAATATCGTGTACGAAAAGTTTAAAATCTTTCCCAACACCGATTTTAAATGACGGAATAATATATTCATTACACTGTATATATGACAGCAAATAACAAAGCCATCTAGAAAACTTTTCGAGTATCCTCTCCATTACCTTCCAATCCCTGATCTGACATTGTAACATCACCTGTAATTCTACTTTATCTATAACTTATCTGTTTAGAAATTAGAATAACTAAGTGATAAAAAATAAATAAGACTTGTAAGTAATTATTATATAACACATTTAATTAATTTGACAGCTTCGCAAATCGAATCGCAACATCTTTTGTTTTCTTTATTTAATATTGTCCATGATCTTTAGATACTTTGCAAGATGACTCCAATTTCTTAAAGTTCCACAGTCGTCTACTTCCTTGAATTCTTAAGCTTTTCTTTTCATGTCCTCTCTTTTCTTTCCTCTTCAATTTGCTGGGTTTCATTTAATAAGCAACATCTCATCAACATATACATTTGTAATTGGACATATACAAAGAAAATCCACAAAACTGTCTTAGAAGCATCATCACAATGTCAAGGTTTTGTGATTTCGGAACTCCACACAAACCCTTGACATAAGTCGCTATTTAAAAGTTGGGCTTGAAAGCTAATATTTCATTTGTTCCTGATCTAGGACTGGAACCAATCAGAAAACAGCTTTTATTGTTGGTAAGTTTTGTAAACAAATATGACTCGTCTATAAAATGGAAAGTGTCGATATTGTAGAATTTGTGACTACTAGAGTTACATTAAAAGAAACATCGGGGATAAATTTTTGGAAGATCGTTCTCTTAAAAATCACAAAAGATATGCTCTGGAGTTGGGCCATTTGAAAACGACGGATTTGAAAAATATATTCTCATTGGTTATTTTATAATTACCCATTACGTCATGTGTAACCACAAACCCAACTTTTAAATAGCGACTCGGTTAAGTCAAGGGTTTGTGTGGAGTTCTGAAATCACAAAACCTTGACATTGTGAGGATGTTTTAGAAGCAGCTGTACATACACTACAGTCTAAATATATCTGAAAAACCGTCTAAATACCGGTATGTCTGAACAATTCATATATGAAAATCTAAAAATAATCTTGATCAGTTAGAAACACTTATTTTAGTTATTCAAGTTGCAACTACTAGTATGTTAAATGATTTTATGATGTCAAAGTGGGTAGTATTTTCTGAAACATAAGCAGATATAAAATTATAAGCCTCATATACAACAATGTCTTCTACGTATTTCTTACATACATATAGTTTTAAATTATATTAAGACTATTATGATTATTTGTTGTTCAAGAATGTTAAAATTGCCACGAGTTCTTTCAAGTGTCAGTAGATTTACAATCAGTTTTTATAATGTAAATAGAATAATTATATTAGCGTTGTGCTTTGATCATTTTTAAAACCTGCGGACTGCACTTGGAATTCTCCACACATTTAGATAAGTATGTTAAGACATTTGTTCCCCTTTCTATGGCGCTGTTTGATAGACGCCATTGGTCAAGCATGCGCACTGCCCTTCTTACATCATCATGAAAATCAATTTTAATGGCGTCGATATCAGTAGAATCAATACCAAGATTGTGGGCGAGGATTTCCCATTTAATATGAATTTGTTTGCCAAGTTCCTCAATACCATTGTTGGAAAGAATTCCTGAAAAGTTAAACATCAATTTCATATTATTTTTTCCCCACTGTTGACAAGTATATTAATTACATTTACTATTAATTGACAATCTGATTTTGTCATATGCAAAACAACCTTTCATTTTAAATATAAAAAAGTGAGGAAAAAATGACGTGCAAAGCATACCATTTGCTTGTGAAAACGGTTTCATGAATAAGTCAAACTCTTTGGCCAATTCGGCAGACAAAGATCGTAGCAGTGATGATATTATCTGAACCTTAAAAATGAATTGGAATTCAAATTAAAAACAAAAATAATTTTATTATGTTTTATAAACCTTGCTTAAAGGAGTAATTTAGTTGCATTAATTTTTAGGTGACACAGTATACTTTTCATAACAATTCATTGAATTTTTAGAGTTACTTGACAAAATCACCATTTCCAATAACTACAAAAGGATCTTTCAGGTCTATTAAGGTTATTACTACCAGAATAAAGATATGACCTTGTTTTCACTTTTTGGTCTATGGCTGGCCCAGTTCATTACAAAGATTTCACACATTTCTCTTTCTGTGCCAGTTGCTGCTTCTTTAACTGCTCGTTGATTTAGTTTTCGAAATTCTGAACTTGTCCCAGCCAAAGAACGCAAGAAATCGTCTATTTTCAGCTTATCACTTGCTGGAATTCGCCAAGCTAAATATTTAGCGCTAACTTTCACTAGGAAAAACACAATTTTGAAGTTCATTATAATGTTAGAAATTATTCAATGTGTAAATAAATAAATGAATGAATAAATAAATAAATAAAGAGCGTCTTACATGGAACATCAAGTGTAAGCGGTGCATATCTATGATGTTCCTCATCCTATAATAAATTAAAAAAAAAAAGAAGATTAAAGTTGATTGTATTCATCTTCAATGATGTAGCATTCGCTTCTGCCTTTCAGAAGTGTGTATCATTTACATGTAGAACATGAAATATGAATGTTTCTCACTTTACTAATTAATACAGCATCCTAATGTAATTGTTTTCCATCTTTATAACTGCAATTATTTATAGTCATTATTTATAACTTTACCTTTGACACAAACCTCTAGTGTGCTAAATCATGAAAAACATCAGAATATGATTTTCTGCAATAATGTTTATAACTTGAATGCGCCAAGTAGTCTCTGGAGTGTTCGTGCCGAACTTTGAATACTACATTACCTTTGGTATATGTAAAACAATGGTTCCACAACGCGGAGGACTTTGTTCCTTCTCACCAACACTGTACTTTAATTCTCCCGAGAAATCTTTGTCTCCTGACTGAGCCTTTTTATTATATACCTCAACTTTGAAAGTAGAACTTGCTGAATCTATATTTAAGTAATATTTTAAACGCAACAATTTTTGGTCTGAATCTAAAGTTAAATTTCCGGCTATTTTTATGAAGATTTCCTCCCCATCACAAATTCCAAATTCAGGTGAATCTGGGGGGCCCTTTTTGAAACTTTGTTTCTTCATTTCATCAGACGCAGTCTGGCATTTTTCGCTCTCTACACATTGTACAAATCCGTGTGTTGGATCTTCGTCGCCTTGACGAACAATGAGTCGTGCGTTTATATAGTATGATTGTCGATATAACAGGTCCGCAATCCGGCAAATGGTACTGTTGTCCATATCTTTTGGAACAATAAGACCCATGATACTGAAAATAGATTTATATCGGAAATGTGAGAAGTTCCAAAAAGTTTCTGTTACAAATGTAAAATTTAATGAAATAAGCAAATACATTTTTTTGTCTTGATAAAGAAACAATGACATATTTCTGTGAACTCACTGTCCAAAATGGTAAACTGGCCATAAAAGAAGAAAGAAATCGATTTTTTATTATAGGCTTTTTCTTTTACATTCGTAAAAGTAATTATTTGATGTCAAGTTTAGGTAAAAAAAAAATATATATATGATACTTTCTAATTAAAAATATAATGCAATTGCATCTTATCTTCATCTTGATACTCGGAAGACAAGTACTTATCTAAAATGTTATCTCTGAAATGCAGGAATTTGTGTACAATGCATTTTGACAGATTTTTCAAACAACTCATTTAAGGTCTGACGACACGTTCCTCAAATATCTGTCTTGTAATATATAAGAAATGTTCATAATATTAACATTATTGTTTTCAAAATGTCTTAGAAAATAAATACAAAATTGTGATATTGACAATTCAAGTAATTTCAAATAGGATTATATAAGAAACACCATCCTCTGGTATCTTGCACTAATGCCTGGTGAGATATCTTAATTTTTTGTGTAGAAAGTTGTTAAAGTAGCAGTACTTTGATGACAAATTCTTGGGAAAAGTTATATATTACTGAGGAACGTGTCGTCTGACATTAGACGTCTTAAATCATCTATTGTGTTAACAGCAGATGAAAACGGAAATATTAATTGACTCTGAAAGCACAAAGATCAAATTCAGATAAAAAAAAAAAAGGCTTCTAATTTTCTTGTGATTTTGTAATTCGCTGAAAACAAAAATATCAGGAATATACTTTTGAAAATCCTTGATACAATCACTTAGATAGATACAAAACTATACAGGGAGAGGATACGAAATGCATGATTACTCGAATGTTGACCCTTTTGCTGGTAAAGAAATTACAACTCCATCTGGAAAATCTTCTAGCGTCTTCTTCTCCATCACCTGCCAGTCTCCGTTCTGACAACTTGACACCACTTGTAATTGTAAGTTATCTATCTCACCTGGTAAAACATAGACCTTCAATTAATAATGAAATATGTAACGATAACGAACAGTGATCTATCTACAAACAATACAAATCTGTAAATAGGGCATAAAACACGGACCCCTGGAAACTCCAGAGGTGGAATCAGGTGCCTAGTAGGAGTAAGCATCCCCTGTCGAACGGTCACATTCCACCGCAAGCCCTATGTATTGATCAAGTAAAAAGAATAATCCTAGTCAAATTTAGTATAAAAACGTTTACAAGGTCATTATGACGACCATATAATTTACAAAATGCGACTTTATGAAATCCCTATAGCATCCTTATTTGTCAGTAACCTGCCTCAGTTTAAAAATAAATGTTAATCAAATGAGTTTAACAAATTGTTTAGACCAAAAAGCAAAGTGTTTTATTTACCGACGAAATCACACCCCATGTTTGCCTCTTCTTCCTTCATATCACTCATGGTCTTTTTTAGATATTGTGCCAGATGACCTTGATTCTCTTTCTCAAGGGCATCAGTCATAGCATTGAACTGGTCCATGTCACAATCTTTGAATTCCTCCAGTAATCGTCGAGCTTTCATTCCCTCGCTATTTTGAAGCTTGTGAGAAATACGACTACATTAACATTACTCATTAAATTTTATTTTTCTGTATAAACTTATCAACACATTTACCAATATCTTTGTTGTGTGTACCGACTGTTTACGAATACGTGCATTGAATAATTTTTATTGTTTTGGTTCGAATGTCTGTGCTGCATATATTCTTATTTCAATACCTTGATTTCCTCCAATACTTCGTCTGTTATTTTGCCATTCTTGTGTAAACGAGTAGCAATGTTGAGTACAGATATATCTGTTACTAATTTGTTCTTGCATTTTTCTATAGTTTTCTGGTGTACTGAGCCAGTTTCTTAAAATAAAATCAAAACAAAGCAATCTCATAAACAAAGGCAATGAAAGCCTTTAATGATATATTTTATGTTAAATATATATTATATATATTTAACAATAATATAACGAGCTTAAACAAGGACACCTCAAAGCGAGATCCCCTCGCAAAAGAGCACATTGATCCCAGTATAAATTATTACTTGCGTAACTTCCGTTACGTACCACTCACTCACCCACACACACACAAGCGCGTTACTATATCCCCTCCAACTTTGTTGCAATAAAAATAATGAAACAACAATTTTACTACACAATCCATACTTACTTATTTTATGTAAATCGGGGTAAATTTCCATATGTACTTTCTCAAGATTTTCATCATCAAATTCTATCCCGTGTAAGGAGGTTGCTATTTTGATGTTATTTAACTCTTTGTCTGCTTTGGTGCGATTTGCTAGATCTTTATCAACCTAAAGATAGATTAAAGTCACTACAAAATTTTTGATTTTTCAATCGTTCTTATGGTAACAATTAAAATTGTATACAAGCTTAGATTCATAAAATTCGAACTTCTCCTCAAATATTTATACATGTATGTAATATTCTGTACAATTTTTGAAATTTCATTGTATTGAAATTAGTATTTAACAAAGTGAAAAAATAGGTTTCAGCGACAGGCTTTGAATGCTTTAGAACTTTTTACTTCATTTACCTTGAAACGGACTTCAGTTTCCTTCTTAAAGCAACCGGATGGGACAATAATTCGAACATTTTTGTCCTCCGTTGGTTCAAACATTCCCCCTTCTGCTTTAACTATCATATTTTCTCGTTTAGGACGTGAAATGATGACAAATTCTAGTGTTTGAAAGTTGTTTATGCGGGTCATGACAAAATGGACATCCTAATTAAAACAAGAATAAATATTTAATTTGAAAGATGGTCGTTGCTTTCTCAGAAATTACAGATCCTTAAAATTACTCACGGTTATGTTGATTTTGGGTTTTTCGTCCGTTGCTTCCACACATTTCCACCTCCCGCCATTTATAGAAACCTTGACCTTGACCTCCCTCTTCTCATTGGCTTCCGCTCTTGGAATATACACTTTCATTGGCAACTGTCATTTTTACAAACAAATTGTCATATAACGTATTACAGTTTTTGCAGTTATAATGTTTCTCTTTCAACCCCCCCCCCCCCCCCCAACACACACACACACAAACTGACTTTTCTCACATCATCATGAAAACGACCATTAACGTAAAGCTAACCCGAATCTCCCTCAGTGACAATGGATATGTAGATATATGCCAGAATATACCTTAAATTCCTGCGGGCATCAAATTCAATTCAACTATTTTAAAAATTAATATTTACGGAATATTGTTTTAGTATTAACATTCGGTTTATTGTTTTTTTGTTTTTTGTTTTTTTTTTTAAGAAGTCTAAATACTTCTATGTGGTACTTGTTAATCTATTATTGTCCCACCAAAAGGTTGAACTTTGAATCCATAAATTTAGATGAAAACGTACATTTAGCGCACTCAAACTTTCGTGCAATTCCTCACCAACTGATAAGCGTAATCTTGAATTAGCGCATTTGGAGCAAAGCTTCTATAAGTATTTGATGTAATCGTATATATTACTGTGTACTTGAATTAGCGGAAAAGATGAAGTACGAAAAGGGCTAAAATATGATTATCGCTAAAATAAATAACGTATGTTTACAGAACTTGCAATTAAGTTCATGTAAGGAATGTCATGATTTCAACAAATCTGAATCTACACGTCATGAGGATGAATTCTACCAAGGCTAAAAACCGGAACTTGGAAGACTGCTTCTACGTGTGACTGTTATTGAGATTATGATAGTTGTTTCCGATATAGACTCTCATGAAAAGTTAGGTTCTATCCTAGAGCTTCTTGGTCAATTGAATCGACACTTTCACTTTAAACGGACTGAAGCAAACACAGTTTGATATATAAAAAAAGTTCACTTAAATCTTTGTCTCAGAGGATTTAAAAAGTCGTTAAATGCCAAATGCATGTGGCTGAGAGGCGAGAACAAAGAACGTTTTGTAATCAATGTTATCAAAGCACATAATAAGCTTTGAATGCAAGAAATGCAATCGATTGTTACGCATTTTGTGTCCAATTTTATATATAACAATAAGGCATTGCGATCAAATACAGAATCGCTTGCTTTCTGAAAACCAGCTTGTTTTACCTCATGGAGTGCCATGTTCAAATTTTATTACCATTCTTTGGGCGACATTAGTGCCGAATTATGTACTTCTTTTTTTTCTTTTGTCAATTTATTGTTCGAACGGGTTTCCTTAATATAAGGATGTTTTTGTTTGAACTGAAATTGTGGCTGGTAGCTTGATCACAAAAGTACTAGTAATCCCTTGGAGAGAAAAAAAACTATCTGTTTTCCAAAAGTGGCAAGACCATTGATTTTAAAAAAAAATCGCTAACTCAGAAGTCCCTTTAAATAGGCCCAGAAAATTTTGAGTATGTTTTTTTTTGTATGTGATATCTATTTGCGTCAACACTCATCTAATGATATTTTTATGTTAATTTTTACTTACATTGCACTAGATGTTCGTTTGTAGACATTGTCCTTAAATAATACTACGAGTATTAAACTTTTTATTCTATACACTATACACATTCACTACGGAAGCCCATTTAGGACCTATCAAAAAAAATTTTGAATTCGATATAACGAATTGTCGAATTTGTTATAACGAATTTAATTCGTTATAACAGTTTCTTTGAATTCGTTATAACGAATTTAATCTGTTATAACAAATTTATTGAACTCGTTATAACGAATTCAAAAATTTGTTATAACGAATTAAATTCGTTATAACGAATTCTGAAACTTGTTATAACGAATTAAATTCGTTAAAACGAATTCTTTAATTTGTTATAACGAATTAAATTCGTTAAAATGAATTCGACAAATCGTTATATCGAATTCTTACATATTTTTCTATAGGCCCCGATTGTTGAATTTGATTTAACAAATTTAATTCGTTACAACAAATTTTTGAATTTGTTATAACGAATTAAATTTGTTATAACGAATTAAATTTGTTATAACAAATTTTAGAGTTCGTTTAAACGAATTTAATTCGTTATAACAAATTTTTGAATTCGTTATAACTAATTCAACAAATTTGTTATAACGAATTAAATTTGTTAAAACGAATTCAAAGAAATTGTTATAACGAATTAAATTTGTTATAACAAATTCTACAATTCGTTATATCGAATTTGAAAATATTTTTTGATAGGTGCTAAATGGGCCTCCGTACATTCACAGACGAGTGTGATAAAGATCTTGGACTTTCAAAATAAATTGTCAGTTAAATAAAACAAAAAAAAAGAAGTGAAAACATAAATATTACGAAAGCCCATTTATGACCTATCAAAAAATATTTTTTGAATTCGATATAACGAATTGTCGAACTTTTTATAACGAATTTAATTCGTTATAACTTTTTTTAAATTCTTAATAACGAATTAATTGTGTTAAAACAGATTTCTTGAATTCGTTATAACGAATTCAAAAAATTGTTACAAAAGATTATATCCGTTTAAACAAATTCTAAAATTTGTTATAAGGAATTCAATTCGTTAAATCAAATTTGACAAATAGGGCCTATAGATAAATATTTATGAATTCAATACATGTATAAGTTATAACGAATTGTAAAATTCGTTTAAACTACACTTGTAATTTAATTCGTTAAGACAAATTTAAGAATTCGTTTTAACGAATATAACAAATTCTAGAATTCGTTAAAACGAATTTAATTTTTATAACAAAATTTTTTAATTCTTTATCACAAAATACGAATTTAACAAATTTGTTATTATAACAGTTTAAATTTGTTTTAAAGAATTCAAAAAAATCGAATTAAATTCGTTATAAAAAAAATTAACAATTCGTTATATCCAATTCAAAAATATTTTTATATAGGTCCTAAATTAGCTTACGTATAATAGTATCTATAACCGGAGTACTTATTTCTTCTTAGAGTTCATTCATTACAAAATGATCAGATCACATTCCTCCCCATACTTACTATATATGTAGTTTTTCACCTACAATTCCTTATTTTGACTTTCAATCTAATCTGATTTAATGATGTAAACTCTCCCCACCCCTTCTCCACGAAAAAAAATTCCAAACTTTTATCAGCTCACCTCTAATGATATCTCTTTTCCAGTTTTAGATTTTATTTTAAGAGTTGATAAAAGCACTTCCTCTTTGTTTTGTGGATACCGGTCAAGATTATGATTGTCAGGACATGTGCACTCGATGTCGTCTTTTTCCAAACCCTGACTTCCAATGATGGCCGAAACGACACAGCAAATTCCACGATGGAATGCATTATTGTCCTTCTCTCTGTCATAACTGCAAAAAAAAAAATGTAAATCTATGTTACACTTTATTTTTTTTTTTCATCTATGAATAAGAGTGATCTAAAAATGTCTTTTTATTTTACAAATGAAAATCTCAACTTACATGTGAATTGGCCAATTATTCGGATTTCTTCTCTTCTTATCTTCCTCTTCCTTTTTCTTTTGTTCTTCGAGACGTCTTCTTTCCTCCTCTTTTCTTCGCTTATCCTCTTCTTCTTTCCTTTTCTGTTCCTCTGCTTTCCGTTTTGCTTCCTCTTCCTCCTTTTTCTTCCTCCTCTCTTCTTCTATTCTTCTTTTCTCTTCTTCCTTTCTTGCTCTCTCTTTTCGTTCCTCCTCCGTCTGCTGATTTTTTATCCATTTATTTACATGATTATTTATATGATCAATCTCTTCTACAGTGAAAGTGCCTTCTTCCTCAACTTTAAGGATAAGATCCTCTGTCTCACTGAGCAACTTTTGAAGATCTAGTTGCTGGGCTGCAATTTTTTGTAATGCTGCAAGATTTTTTAATTTTTGCATATCGATGTTTTCCCTGAAAAAAAAAATCAATTATGAGCAACATACTTTTTTTTTTGCAATTGTTACCTGAATAAGGGTGCAACGATAAACCGTTTGACGGTATATCGCGGTATATTTTTCCACGGTACAATTCACGATACTCTAAACTGATATCGCGGTTCGGTTCAATCGGTCCAGAACTATCCGTTTTGTCCGTTTTATTTCCTTCTTTACTATTTAAAAAAACCAGACTAATAACATGAAAAAAATATTTTTGGAATTTTACCCATTTGAATGTTGTTTTTTTTTTTTTTCATGTAAAGCATAACACAGGTATAGTTTGTTGTTATTCAGGATTTTGATCAAAGATAACAATATGTATTGTTTGGTTCAACAGAATGGGAATCCTACCTTTCCAAAGGAACTCTTGTATATGAAGCATCTGTTGTGTATGTCAACCCTGAAATTTAAACCAAAATATAGTGTCAACAAATACAATCTTATGTAACAAGGAAGTAGAATTGATTAAATAAAGGAATTACTTCTAATATCTTACCAACAATAAACCCAGACTCGCAGAGCTTTTTCATTTTCTCGCCAATCTGAATCTCGAAATCCTTGATGAGCTCTTTCAGTTTTACAAGATCTCCATTTATTTTTTTGGCATACTCTGCAACTCCTTTAATGCTTTTGGAAGACTCTTTAGTTTCATCATTAACTTCCTTGCTGAAAGTCATAAAATCTGTAGTGGAAGCTAAAGAATTTTCTAATTTTCGATGGATTCTTATTCTCTCCGAAATTTGCGACAGGGCATTGATGTCTGCCATTTTGCAAGAGACAGTAAATACGACTGGGACAGTTCTTTTTGCGTACAAGATAACGTCAGTAATGAGATAAGACTATACAAGTTGAAACTTAACAAAGTTATTTAAAAGATCTGACCATGAGTGCGATCAAATATATCAACAAGAGTATCTTTTGTTAGATTGTAGTCTGAAAGCACGTGATGTACAACTTTTTTTCCCAAAAGAAGTAGCTATTTAAACTACATGCAGGCATATTTGTTCAGAACAATGTAAAGACTAAGACATGCTTAAAGATGTCATGGATATGCTTATGGATGTTTTGATTGTGAAATTACGTAATTTTCTGGAAAGCTATTCATTTATGATATCGAACTGTACGCCCAAGATTTTAAGATATCTGCCATATTTTTCAGATCTATAAAGGGTTGATATGTGCTATTATGGAACGCCATAGCTGCCTTATGTGGTTATTTCATGAGAAGATGGTGCTTTATTATGTTATTTCATGTGATGGTGGTGCTTTATTATGTTATGCTGTGGTTATTTCATGTGAAGATGGTGCTTTATTATGTTATGCTGTGGTTATTTCATGTGAAGGTGGTGCTTTATTATGTTATGCTGTGGTTATTTCATGTGAAGGTGGTGCTTTATTATGTTATGCTGTGGTTATTTCATGTGAAGGTGGTTTTTCATGTGAAGGTGGTTTTTCATGTGAAGGTGGTTTTTTATATTTAATGCGATGGTGGTCACTCGGAACTCTTAATACTTTTGAAGACTGAGTTTAGCACTGAGTTTAACTGCTATTATCTTGAAATTTTGAGAGTGAAACAAATAGTCAATGTAATTAAAATCATTTTAATACACCATTGCTAGTTCCTCTTTTTTTCCATAAGCGCTTGGTTTCAGGATGCTGTATTTTGTGTATTATGTTTTTTTCTAGCTATGTCTGCATTAACTCGATAACCTAAGAATAAAAAAATCACTGAAATAAGCAAGTTTTAAAAATGTCATATTACTTTATATAAAAAAGGAGTGAAGGTACGACAGTTGCAATCTTCGATTTTACGTCGTGCCCGGCTCGGTTCATACTTGATTTTAATTATCAATATCTACACTTTTTCTACCAGTTTCGGGCAGGAATTCGGAATCTACATTTACAAATGATTGAATAACGCCTTTCAATCGTCTGCCAATTCGAACTTGCCGTTTAAAATATGCAGTAAACAAAAAACGTCCTGATACCTAGAACTGAAAGTGAAAGCAATGGAAGTTACGATTTTTAACCAAGTAAAATGTAGAGGCGTCCCGGAATAACGAGAACAAGTTTGGCACGGTTTCTGACTTCCCTAGATTTTCCGAAGATGGCAACTGTTGTACCTACACTCTTACTATATGGACTAATATGACACTTTTTAAACGTGCTAATTTCAGTGATATTTTTTTTTAATTTTTGTTTTTGAGTGTATTCAGACACACCTACAAAAAATCATAATACACAAAATACACCATTTTGAACCCAAGTGCCTAGATGGAAAAAAGAGGAACGAGCAATGGTGTATTAAAATGATTTTAATTACATTGACTATTTGTTTCACTTTCAAAATTTCAAGATATATAATAGCAGTTAAACTCAGTGTTAAACTCAGTCTTCAAAAACATTAGGAGTTCCGAGTGACCACCATCACATTAAATATAAAAAAAAACCACCTTCACATAAAAAAACCCCACCAACACTTGAAAAACCACCTTCACATGAAAAACCACCTTCACATGAAAATTCACCATCACATGAAAAACCACCTTCATATAAAAAACCACCTTCACATGAAAAACCACCATCACATGAAAAACCACCTTCACCTGAAAAACCACCTTCACATGAAATAACCACAGCATAACATAATAAAGCACCAACTTCACATGAAATAACCACAGCATAACATAATAAAGCACCACCTTCACATGAAATAACCACAGCATAACATAATAAAGCACCAACTTCACATGAAATAACCACAGCATAACATAATAAAGCACCACCTTCACATGAAATATCCACAGCATAACATAATAAAGCAGCATCTTCTCATGAAATAACCACATAAGGCAGCTATGGCGTTCCATATGCTATCTTCAGTTATCTTGAGACAATGAGGCATTGATGATTATGATGATAAAATTACTTTAGACCTTGGAGACTGGGGGCATTGCCTATGGGTACGAATATTATTGAAACATGGAAAATGTCCATAAATTAATTTGAAACAACTTAAGAAAAATAGAATAGTAAGAATATATTTTGACCCTAAGTTAATGAACATAAGAACTCCTTTATGCAATCTTTATATGCTTCGCAGTAAAGACAATTCAATGGTTTACATGTTAACTACGTGTATTGGTGCATACCAGTTGAAGGGAATAATAATTTTTCAGCAGATAAACAAACGTTGTTTTATTTGCATTTTATTCATTGTTTCATATGACATGTGGTTCAATCATAGAGGCTTAAGAGTTAAAGATGGTAATGAAGCATGGTCATCTATATATAATATGATTGTGTAAATTACTTTTCAATCCTGATTCCATTCACATTTAATCATAATTACTATTAAACAGATTAAAAACTACTGTTTGTGTATTGTACAACTCGTGTAAAGACAAGCAAATGGGTCCCTGCTCTTTTTTTAGATTGCCCAAATTCATTCTGTAAATCTCAATTTACTCAGAATAACGAAAGAATTGGGTTTTTTTTTTTTTAATTCTGGTATTGTGGAAATAGTACTCAAAAGAGTAGCGAATTATAAAGGCTCACTTAATTTTAGTTCAAGCTCAGAGAAATGTGATCATATCATGTGATTGAACACAAGAAAGGGAGATATTCATACATTTAATTGGTTTAAAATTACATTTTTCAAAATAGGCTCGATTGACTGAATTGCACTGACATGCATTGTCTGTGATTTACTTCATGGAAAAGATTGTTTATGATTCTGCTGGAGTTACCTTCCTTTGATTAGTAAAATGTAAATACATTCTTCCAAGTTTTAAAAATTTTATTAAAATTACAGAAAATTTTAATGTATTAAAGTTTGATGATCTTTATCAGCAATAAAACTTTATTTAAGTATATACAATTTAGAAATATCGCAATACACTGTTTTTCAAATTAGGCCTCGTGTACAGAGGTATTTTGCCTAAGAAGCGCAGTTTTCGGACAATTACTCAAACAGTTTCGAAAAAAAAAACATTTCTGGGGAAAGGCATAAATAAGCTCATTAAGAATATGTTCAAACCAAGCAGATGTATACGTGTGAAGTGTTCATTTTAACGAGAGATATAGCTAAATAATGTGGATTTATAAGATAGATGAAACTTTGTAAGATGAAGCCGCCCCGCCCCGCCTCCCCCTTCTAATGCATTGATCACTATACACGTATTAATGTAACAGTTTATGTTTTGCCTAAACCACTGTGTTTTAAACTTAGTTTTCATTTTTTTCTCGGTAATCGTGCAATTACACTTCTAGAGACTAAAACAGTTGAAATTCAATTAAATTGTATTTATTGATAACTTTTCATTCTAAACATTTCCCCCTTTTATCATGTCCAAGAGGAATGTGCCAAATATTATTATTTGTTTCGAATATGTCAATTAACCCGGTTTTTTTTTAATTGTCATTCTATACAAATTTTATTTTATATATGAATGTATTAAGTATTCAAAAAGCTTTTTGATAATCTGTGTTAATGAATTTAACTATCTCCAAATATCTATCCCCCTCAAAAGCATTTTCTAATTAAGAGATTGTCAACTTCTCACTATTCTCTTCATGAAAAAGTTGAAGAAAACGATCAGTCTAATAAATCCTTTAAACAATACAAATTGTGAAAAAGGCCAAAAAAATTGTTTGAAGACCTGCTGTTCTCCAAAGGTCACAAAATTTATATATTTCTCGTGCAGTTATAGAGAGGCTACGAACTTATGTGAGAAAGACGCTGATTTGTCTGGATATAATCTACTCGTATAATTGTATTAATATTAATCTGCTTATACTCTCTCTATATGTTGCTTCCGTAAATGACTTGATGTTAATCCAGATCTTAATATTAAAAAAATTGGGAAAATTTTACATGTTTAATTTTAATTTTTACTTGTGACTTGGATTTAGGCTGCTTATTTTTAGAAATAAACACGAAGCAAAATATAAAACTGGATGGTTGACTTG